ATGGGACTGCGATTTCGGAATGGCGTGTGCATCAAATTTTGCCAAAGACTCGCCAAAACGGCTACGGAAACCTATGAAATGCTCAAGCAAGCATTTGGGGAGTCCGCAAACTTTTGTGTGGCATTCACGTTTTAAAAATGGCCGAACCTCTGTCGATGATGACGAGCGTTCTGGACGACCATCTTCGAGCACAACGCCCGAAACTGTTACGAAGATCGACGTCGTACCATCACTTGTACGACTTGTGCGACATTGTTGGGATAGGCTATGGGACCTGTGAGCTGATTCTAAAGGAAGAACTCCACATGCGACGCATCGCAGCCAAGTTTGTGCCAAGGTTCCTGTCTGAGGACCAGAAGCAGAATCGACTTTTCGTTTGTCAGGAGCTCAAAGATCTTGCAAGAACCGACCCCAGCTTCCTTTCTAAGCTCCGTGTGACTTCTTCCTCTTCCCAAAGATGAAAATTCAGCTAAAGGGATGGAGATTTGAGACGATAGAAGAGATTCAGGCAGAATCGCAGATGGTGCTTGACAGGCTGACAAAGAAAGATTTCCAGGGATGCTTCCAGGCTTGGCAGCGGCGCTGGGATCGTTGTGTTCACTCCCAGGGGAACTACTTCGAGGGTGATGTATGAATTTAATACCTGAGATAAGTGTACGGGTTTTTATACGCGCAGTCTTGAAACTTTCCGATCGCACCTCGTACGAGAAACTGCTTATTCTTCATAACTGAAATTCTGTGTCTCCGTAAATAGATATAATTAAATATTATTTGTTTGTGTTGTACAAACGTAACCCGGAAACTAATGACTAACTGATTTGTAAGCTGTTTAGAGTATGTTTCTTTTCTGCAGAAACTCTGATTTACTCTGAGTGCTGCATAATGATTATAACCTCGTTACAGATAACTTAAAAACTCATAGTTTGTTGGTTCTGAAGAAACTCCTAAAGGCAGAAAACATTTCGGTTGGTTCTGTGAGTATGGCAACGAACCCCGACGCACTTGATGGAATGAGTTGCCAGGGAAACCGCCCTCTCTTTGTCTTAGCATCGAGTTGTGAAACAACACGAAGTTACTTGAATCAGGTAAAACACGAATTGTGTTGTAACACTTAAAATCAGATTTGTGTTCCATGTTCCGTTCTATTAGTCAGTTAACTGCGATGCTAAACCACCCATCAGTTTTAACGCTTAGTGTTCCCGCAATACATCTCTCCTCCCACATCTCAGGAGTCGACGTCAGAAGATAAGGAATTGATTTTACACTAATTTTCTTTAATTTTAAGATCTGCTACTATATTTGTTTAAATCTTGTCAGTCTAATCACAATAAAATTTCTATTAAATATTAAAATATTATCATAATTAACATTTAAATATTTAAAATATATTAAATGATATTCTCTATCTAAATGTTCGATTTACATTAGAATATCACTTTTTACACGACATGTTTCGGCTCTAAAAGAACCATCTTCAGGTGTATAAAATTGTATAAACTTAAATATAATTTCTTAAATGAAAAATATTTAATAGGAATTTTATTGTGATTAGACTGACAAGATTTAAACAAATATATATTTATCACAATATGACGCAACTTTATCATCTGCTACTAAATGACTATACTGCAAAATTCATACATTTAATGTATTCTTATTAGGTTCTTATATATCCCTTGTATGATAGTTTACACTTAGTAATTCACCGTCTGTGTAATGTTCTTCGCTGTGGTTGCTAAAATTTATTTTATACATCACGTTTAACGGTTCTGTATTGTGCATGAAAAAGTCCTATTATCCTAATAGGATTTCTAACTGTGAGCATTTGTCAGATTTTTGTGTGTGCAACGGAGACACAAAACCTTTTTCCTCATTAAAATCTGTATTAATCGCATTAAAAGGAATACCACATGAGTTTAATTACAATGTTTTATAAAATTCTTCCAGGTTTCTGTCACGCCTCTTATTTCGCGTGGAATATGGCTCATGTTCTTCTCTGCATCTTCAATAGAGGAATATTTTACCGATGTTAAAGTTCCTTACGACTGCGAATTCCTCGTTGGCCAATCTCTTAGTCGGAAAGGAATCGAGGATTTTACGATTTCTCTTAAGAAAATTTATCAGGACCACCCCTCGCGGACGTCCAAGACGCACAGTGTTGCCAACTGGACATCCAGTGACGGTTTAATTTGGCCCCCAAAACCTCTACTTAACAGGAGAGAAAACCTGCATGACCTTGTGATCAGAGTGGGGGTACCTGGAGAGGTAAATGTTTTGGTTTTATAATATCGATTATAAATGCTCTAGTTAATTGTTCTTGCGTGCCTAACCTCTCTTTTAATTTCATGTCCAGGTTCGTTCTGATATCAATTCAAAATGCAGACGACATACAACGTTTTGTAGAACTTCATATGAAATATGGAATACTTTACAGGATAAAATTAATTTTAAGTAAGTATATTTGAATTAGAACAGAATTTGAAGCTTCGCTTTTAAATGTTGCATATCATAAGGTGGCATATACACAGAGATGCCTTTTTATGGCCGTTAAGACCATTGAAATTTCGATATTAGGTATAAAGACGCGAGCTCTGCGTAGTTTTGTGTTTGGCTGGAATTATGTAGTGGACAACAGCTGCTCAGAGGAGCGTTAAATGAAAGGGTTGATTTGAGGGTCGCATGTATACCACCTACACAGACAGTGAAAAACGGTGGTCTCTTCTTCATACAAGAACGAACTTCCAGAGTCCACGAAAGACTAGAAATTCCTTGACTATCTCAGTTGCCGTCAGATTCTCAAAAAAAATATTTATGTCTATGGAATTAGTCCGTTAAATATGACTACAATTTAATATTATATTAACGAAATTTATTGTATTTACTAGAATTACAATTACGCCTACTACAACAACGCAAAAATACAGCGAGTTTAGTAATAAAGGTGGAGGCAACTGTCACTTCTCGGCTGGAACTGCACGACTCACCACACAGAGCAATTAGTCATGCACCGCTCCATGAAAAGGATAAAACCAGCTGAAGTATTATATAGCAGTTCCTGCTGGAAGCCGTGAAGTGACAACTACGTTCAACTTTGTAGGTGGACACGCACTATTTAAAAATGCAAATGTAAACTTTAATATGATTATTTGTCTCTGTCTAGGTCGGATTATCGCAGTGGTCCTAGAAGAAACTTCAGTTACGAAAATGAGAACGGGTCTTGGAATGGCGTAGTAGGAATGCTGGCATTAGATGAGGCGGATGTTGCTATTGGCAAATTCGCAATGACTTCTAGGCGACTTTCTGTTGTCAGTTACCTATCTGTCATATTTCCGGCAAAGTAAGCTTAATAAATCGTAAGGCTAATTGCAAGTTATAATTATCTCCCCCTCTTAGTTTCGAGGCAACAACACGAAAATATCCCAAAATGGAATCACGACTAACTTATTAATGAATTTCATTATGAAAGTTTTTACTACAACACGACTTCTCAGCCAATCGATTATATAAGTTTAATATGATTTTGTATGAAATTGTGGTTGAAAATAGGAGGTCGAAATTAAGATTTCTTGGTCCTTGTCCCAAGCCTCCATCCGCCACGCAGTTGTAGAGAATTACATCATATTTCGTTCAAGCCTTTTGTGAAGATTTCCGTCTTCTGGGTTGTTGCGCTGTGTAGACTAGTCTACACAGCGCAACAACCCAGAAGACAGAGATCTTCATACTCATCGCCCTGATGATGGAGGCAGTAGGACCTCTGAAACGTTGGTAAACTTCATCCAGACTACACAGCGCAACAACGCAGAAGACAGAAATCTTCATACTCTGATGACGGAAGCAGTATGACCTCTGAAACGTTGGTAAACTTCATCCAGACTACACAGCGCAACAACGCAGAAGACAGAAATCTTCATACTCTGATGACGGAAGCAGTATGACCTCTGAAACGTTGGTAAACTTCATCCAGACTACACAGCGCAACAACGCAGAAGACAGAAATCTTCATACTCTGATGACGGAAGCAGTATGACCTCTGAAACGTTGGTAAACTTCATCCAGACTACACAGCGCAACAACGCAGAAGACAGAAATCTTCATACTCTGATGACGGAAGCAGTATGACCTCTGAAACGTTGGTAAACTTCATCCAGACTACACAGCGCAACAACGCAGAAGACAGAAATCTTCATACTCTGATGACGGAAGCAGTATGACCTCTGAAACGTTGGTAAACTTCATCCAGACTACACAGCGCAACAACGCAGAAGACAGAAATCTTCATACTCACCGCTGTGAAAACCTCAAATCTTACAAGCCTTTTGTGGTTTGGGAAATCAAGAACGTCTTTGCTTCTTAAAACAGATATTTTATTTCCTTCGAATCATGCCTACTATAGTTTAGCGTTGCGGTTGAACCGATAAGATGAAATGCATCGTTAACCAGCCAACCAGAAGGCGTTTTTGCTTTTCTACTCTCACCGTGAGCGTAATTCTCAACTAGCTGGCTAACCGTTTTTGTCTTGTGTGGTTTGAAACCCTTTTATCCAAGGAATTCAAATTTTTCCTATTTTCGGTTTAATTCGAATAGCCCCTCCTAGTCGCTGAGGCTGTCTCTCCCTTCCAAGGCAGCAAGGCTTGTTTCACCATAACAAGTGCAATTGTCTATGCTCACACGAAGACCATGCATAGAGGTCACTGTGCTCTTACGGAGTATTTATTTGAAAGAGCGAACTCATGACCTATTTTCTGCATTCAAAGCAGAATTATTTCCAGTTACTTTATATGAAATATATGAAGTCTGATCTTTCTAAATTTAAAAATCACACGCTGTTTTAGCATTTTTTCGCTAGCAAGTGTTTATTTCCACAGGATCTCCACCTTTATCAAGAAGCAAAGGTCAAATTCGAGTTGGAAGAACATACTAGCGCCATTTTCTCCTGAATTCTGGTGGGTCCTACTGGCTTCATTGCCGGTGTTCACTGTTTCGCTTTCAGCAGTTTGGTACATAAATTTAAGTTTTGGGATGCAAGAAGGCAAAGAGATGTACGACATACATAATTCTTGGATATACATTTTCGGAAGCTTCTGTCAACAAGGTACGTGAATCTTAACGTAGTTAATAACAAACATTATTTGTACTACATCGTTTAATGTAATAACAGATTCAGACGCTTTATCCTTCGAATTTTCCAGTTTGTATAATTTTATAATCTTCCTACAACGTAGTTGCTTTTCATTCCAATTCAGCAACTTTAAACAGTTCACTGTGTCACGAAACTTATCCATCTTCCATGTTTTTCTTTTTATGTTCAATAAATTAGATGTTTTACATAAACTTGAATGGGAAGACCAGAGGTCATACTGCCTCCGTCATCAGGGCGATGACGGAGGCAGTATGACCTCTGAAATGTTGGTTAACATCGACCAGACTACACAGCGCAACAACCCAGAAGACGGAAATCTTCAAAGAGACGTCTTCCGCCAATCTTACATTCCTCGATGTTGTTAATGAGTGACGCTGATTCGTGCAGAGTGAAGATGTTGTTCCATTTCCTTTCCATGACTTCTTCGACAGGTCACGACATCGCGACAAGTTTGTGGTCGTGTCGCTTACTGTACTTAACATCGTATTTGACATACGTAATACTGTTCACTGCATATTCAGCCATCTTCATATCCATGTTGGCTGTGCATCAGTTTTCAATGCCCTTCTCAGACTTTCAAGGACTTGTGGACATCGGGACGTATCGCTTTGCTGTGGTGGGTCTATCCGTTTACCTCGACCTTTTTTACGTAAGTAGTTAATTTTCTAAAAGCTGCTTAATGATAACGGCACAAGTGAAATACAACATTTTGTCGTCTACTGAGAACTTACAGGCTCTGTAAACAATCGAGTAATCTCGTCACGTTGACAGCGAGAAAATTTCAAAAAAAATTACGTACAGAGCGCAATGTTGAAATTACTTAAATTTATAAAATAGTGTAGTTGCGTCATATTGTGACTTGTTAAATTAAAATTAAATTATTTGGTTATTCCGTCAAATCACAATGTATTTAAAATAAGATAATTAAAATAATTGACGAAATATAATCACCCGGCCCAAGAACAGGTTATTCGCCGTCCTCTGTTTCATATAGAGTAAATAGGCTATCTGAATAATGCACGTAACACAACAATAGCGAGGCATACATTTCCTACTGTCGGGATTCGTATTTATATGTCAACTTGAAGCGAGTCTATTGTCAGACTGTAATCCCTGGCTAATTATCTGGGAATGGTTAGGGCATGTGTCCACAATAATTATTAAATCTTTGACGTGACGCACAAACTAACCATCGCTTTGGGAGTCGTGAGTCTAGACTACGATGATCCTTTCATGAATCTCGACAACCGACGTCGTGTGATGAGTTACATAACCGACATATTTGTTGACTGTTACCATTTCACTTATTTGTTAAATTGCACTTGAACTGACAGTTATAACTATGTAATTAACGAACTTACTAAGTAACCAGCTACTTAAATTAATCACTAAGTAACTAAGATACTTACTAGTTAACTAATTAGGATTTGAGGTTTTCACGGCGGTGAATTCGAAGACGGTTATCTTCTGGTTTGTAGCGCCGTGTAGTTTGATTAGAACCCATATGACAGCCGTCTTGTAAATATGTGCATTTAAAATTACCGCGTACTTTTATGATCCCGTAAATGTTAGTAAAAGTAAAGTTTGTCCCACTATACGCCATGTAGGCGTTTGGGGTGAGTGGAGGTATAGCTCCTCTTTTCCTTGACCTCGGCACTAGATGGGGGTGAGTGGTCAGCATCACGCCCCGGCCGGCTTTACCCCCGGGAAAGGACCCCGGTACCCATTGTAGAGGAGGCTGGGTGGGTCCCAGGGGTTATGCATTGTTACCAAAACATATAAATTAGAGTAAATGGTTTACCTCATTTTTGACCGTATGTAAAGATGAACTTTGAAAATTAATGAAGTTTTAGTGGCTCGTCCGGTGGGAAAAAGCTATTCAAACCACTTGTGTACTTCGTAGACTTTCCAGTAGATTTTCCATTTTAGTACACGGAGCTGCCCGCAGTTTGGAATTTTAGAGATGAAGTACTCTGGCACCGACGAGAACCAGTCGACATTTGGAGTACCATTACAAATTCCAGGCTATATTCTACTGTTATACGGAAAGAATGCTCTTTTCCCTTCCCACTTTTACAGTTTACGTTCTCATAAGTCTTAAACTTTTGTAACGTACTCAGAAACTGATTTTCATTCATCTACACAACAATTTTTTTTTAACTTTTATGGAACCCGGCGGTTCAATACCATGTTCACAACAGGTCATCTCTGGGTACTGTCCGGATTAATCCAATCCACACCGTCACAGCATATTTCTTTTTATTATTACCTAATATAAACACAATTATATCCTTCAACGTGTCTCTTCCCTTCAGACTATCCGACTAAATATTTTGTATGCATTTTTAGTGTCTCGACGCGTAATGTACCGCTTAGCTCCGACACAGTTTTGCTGTAAATGTAATTTGAAACAATGTAATAAAAGCACAATCTTTAATACCGGAAGTCTACCGTATCGTTTCTTAAATTGATTGTATGTTCATAAAATCTATCATCAGGATGTGTTGTTTCTTTGTTCCTTTGTTTTGGCTAAACTACTCGAAGACAGAAACTGCATGTATGAATTTTAAATTGCGATATCTCCTCTTTACAGTCTAGATAAAGCATATCAACATTAACATGAAGGATAGGTAGCTGGTAGGAACAAGTCACTGGTCACAAGTAACAAGTAATTTGACAATTTAAGCCTTTGGTGTAAACTCAGTGTAAAAACACGAAATGATTTATGTATATATGTCGGTGAACACGTCTGTGTTTCAGTTTATGTACGAATATGTTTTATAAAATAGTGTATTTGCGTCATATTGTGATTCAGTAATAAACCTTGATCGGATACGGTAATACTTCTGGATCAACTCCAGACACAACTGTGTTGTCTACTATTTCATCTCTGACCGATGTAAACATCAAAAGCATCACTTCAAACAATACAGTTGATCCATTATATGAAAATATCTGGACACGACCTCCAAAAAACTACACTACGAAAAATTGTAAAAAATTGTAATTGAGTTTTAAATTTAATATAATTTTACACCTGATGATGGTTTAATAAAACCGAAACATGTTGTAACTATTCCAATTGTAAAATCGATTATTCGATATGGAACACAGAATGATATTTTAATTATTTTAATTATCTTATTTTAAATACATTGTGATTTGACGGAATAACGAAATAATTTAATTTTACTTTATATTTGTATCGTTCCAGCAAGTTCGACGAAAAGTCTACATCAATTTTACAAAATACTCACATTATTTAAAGTTTAGGCTTTTGATATTCAAGGAAGACGCAAGCTGCTTGTAGAAGTGTTAACAGTAATTGGTGAATAGGTTTTTTAGACTTTACGAGGAAACAGCTGATAAGGCCATTTCCTGCTTACAGAATTTTATTTGTTCCAGCAAGCAACTGACCCAGCACTGAAGCAAGTGTACCAGAGACTGATCGTGCCAAATATCAACAACTTACCAAAGACCATGATGGAAGGATTCCAACGAATATGTGATGAAAACAATTACGCTTTCGCTGTTGATGACGAACTAGTAAGTGGCAGGCAACTGAGCTGTGACGTCATAGCCGTGCCGTATGCCTTCTTCAGGACGCCTGCATCAATGATCGTCAGCAAAAGCTGCCCGTACAAGAAGCTCTTCAGCCTTTAGTAAGAAACAGCATGAAGGCCATTTTGGTCTTAATTTTGACTAAATTTAAACCTGTCGTACGTCGTTATGCGTTCTTCGCAAGACGTGCATAAAATTGCCGCAGAGAGGGTCGATCATGTCTGTCTGTCCGTCCGTATGACTCAACCCGAATATTACTAAAAAGAATGAAATGAGTGGTGCATGTAGCAAGCACGAGAAAGATTATAAAAATATAGCCTGAAATTGTAGACGGGAAAGCGAATGAAGGAGAACACTTGGGAAACTTAGGCATAATTTGGAGGATAACATTAAAAATGAATCTTAAATAAATAGGATATAAAGTTGTGGGCTACATTCACCTGATTCAAAATGGGAACAGTGATGAGCTCTTGTGAACACGGCAATGAACCGGTCAGTCACAAAATTTCATGTTTCAAGGTCACAACAAAAGCGTGCAACGTTGCAGAACTAACAGCGAAATCTAGGTGAGTGATGACAGCTCAGAATTTGCAGCGCAGCAAAGCTAACAACGCCATACTATTGACACAGAGTCGCGTGGTACAGGGAACAAAGTCTTTTCATGACTTTGAAGCACGTAACTTGGTAATGGCTAGTGGAATTATATGATTATACATCTCGGGTTCGATTCCCGGCGGTGCCCGAATTTATAACTTGTGTTGGGCAAGGCCGTGGTCTAGGCAACACGGAGTTTTCCTCCGGGGGCTTCCCCGGTTTCTCCGTGACATCCCAACAATTACTCCATTCACACACAGAAGAAGGCAATGGCAAACCACTTCTGGAGCATCTGCCAAGAACGTATATGAACAGATCCCAGTCCGAGAGAAGGATGGAAGGATCCTGTTCATATGAACCTACCTGTCGTCTGACAGAACACTAAATAATAATAAGATGAGGTGGTCTAGGCAACACGGAGTTTTCGTCCGTGGCATCCCAACAATTACTCCATACACACAGAAGAAGGCAATGGCAAATCACTTCTGGATCATCTGCCAAGAACGTATATGAACAGGTCCCAGTCCGAGAAAAGGATGGAAGGATCCTGTTCATATGGACCTGTCGTCAGACAGAACACTAAAATAAATAAATAATAAATAAATAACTGAGCCCAGATGTTACATACTGCCGCATACTTTTGATCCGACATCTGAGAATTCCGCTGTAGGCAGGTCTCATTATGTGGAATAATAAAATTACATGCAGAAAGTTAAACGCACAAATACCTTATTGTGTCATACAGATATAATAACTGTCCGTCTTCATTTTTGATTACAGTATTGAAATGATGAGGGAATCTGGAATTTTGAAGAAGCTTGAAACGTACACCAGCGTTATACCCGCAGCCGAACAAGTTCCTGGCACTCAGGCGTCACTCGAAGACATTTCGTCTGTTTTAGTGATTGCTATGATTGGTGTTCTAGCCTCTGTCATCTGCCTTCTGGCCGAAATCTTACTTTTTCGGTTCAGGCTTTATTTTAGGCGCCAGATGTTTAATCCTACAATTCCGTTTTCAGATTAAAATTGAGTAAATTACAGTCGCTTCAACAGATGCAGTCGTCTTGTTTTGGTTGACTTCAAGCATTTCTTTAAAGTAACTTCACGTTAAGTATTATGAGTACTCGTGCGCCTAACTGCTGCGACCGTCGGTTCGAGTCCCACTCAAGGCATGGATGTTTGTCCGTTACCAATCTGCACTGGCCAGCGTGGTAGTGTATGGTTAAAATCCTCAAATAGGAGACCTGTGTCCAGTAGTGGACATTGAGAGGTTTGAGGAAAAAATTATAATTACGCAAAACCAAATAAAACTCAGAATGGATACGTTTAACAGATAAGTAACCCCTTGTATTTACTAATGGTAACATTCTGGTTATAGAATTTTTGTAGGCGTAATCATCATTCCTACTAGATTTATGGTTCCCACGGCGGCGAGTATAAACATGGCTGTCTTTTGGGTTTAATAGCGCCGTGTAGTCTGGTAGAAATTCATCGACCTTTCAGAGATATTTTCTGCCTCCATCATCAGAGCTATAAGTAACAGTAATCACCACCCTGATGATGGAGGCAGAAAATACCTCTGAAACGTCGATAAACTTCTACCAGACTACACGCGCTACAAGCCAGAAGACAGCCATCTTCAAAGATGAACTTAGTTCCCCGGGGTTTTACTCAGGTTGTATCTGCTTGAATACTAAATTATAGAAGGAATGTATTTTATTACGCGATGGTAGATATACTAACCATGCATTTTTACGTGTACCACCAACGACGATAATGTACGTATGTAACGTCATATTTCGTAAATTGTTCTGAAGAGTATAATTATTTTGTTGTTTGAAACGTGATATTATGTAAAGTTTCAGAAAGAGCATGATTGTGAAGTATATAATATTTAAAAATGTATATTGTTTGAATTTTTCAGGAATTTTTATTTTCATGAAACCGTTAAATGCGTGGTTTATTTTTAGCAATGAGTGATTAATTAGACTGGCATAGGCGTAATTGAAGTTTAAAACTGCGTTTGTCAGAAACTATTCAAGAAAATGTGCAAACGACTACTATCGAAAACAAATTGAAACCAAGACGATAGATAGTCATATAGACCTGTAGATTATATAAAATAAGACTTAATAAGAAACTTGAAAATCTTTTTAATTCTGTGACAGTCGACAGCCTGAACTGGTAAATAGGTCTGTATCGAATTTAGGTATCGAGTCAATTCTGTGAGCAATTGCCTGTGGACAAAGGCATGAAGTTCAAAATACCATGTTTATCTCCATAATCTGAAACTATTGTACAAGCACTACCACGAAATTGAACCAAATCACGCAAACAGAAGATTAAACAGGAAAAAAAAACAGATCGCTGCATAGAGAAGTGGGTGAGGTGAAGTACTTCCATTCTTTCTGGAAATAAAAGAGCTTACATTACGAATGTTTAATTAAATATATTTGTGACAGCGAAGACCAAAGAACAGAGACTCTTACTGTTCAGTATACTGACAAAATCAAAGGTTTTCAAACTGAGATATAATTTCCATTTAAAAATCTAAAAATTTAACCGACACATTTCGATTTATAAGATGAGAATATTATTTATTTTCTGCATTATCCAAGTTGGAGATTGCCAATTCCCCCTCAACACGCTAGTCAATGTAACTGTAAGTTTACTGAACCATTATCATTCAACATGTGTGTACCTGCTGCACTCCAGACTTCAACACGGTGAGTGCCTATGTCTTATCCTCCGTCCATGTTGCAATGGTCGCTCGGTTTACGAGGTAAAAGAGGTCGCTGATTGGCTGAGACCTGCGGAGTCCACCTAGCAGACAGGCCGAAACAGGAAGCTATGCGACATCTTAACTATATACCGTTAATCGAAAATTTATCGCTAATTGATACAACGTGGTCCTATGGAAGGCGGATTGTTAATAGAGATATCGTTAATCGATTAATCGTAAACCGAGGGACCACTGCAGAATATTAATGCACTGTAACAGAACATTAAGAAAACATCGCAAATGACACTGGAAGTAGGCCTATTCGGGACAATATTTCAACTAAAGAGAGGATATTTGGTTAATCTTACATTTTCAGAAATAAGACGTTGTTTAATGAAGAATTATGAATATCAGTAGACAATTAAAATAGACGTAAATAACAATCCTTGCAGATTTCTAAACAAATAGCTAATCTAAACTTGAGAAATTAAACAGTAATGACAGTGATTTCGAAGCAGAAATTAATTTAAGATGGAATCCCACCTAAAACTACAACACACATAATGCGTAAATAATTATAAACCTTAGGATTTGAATGAATAAGAATAAATCAACATTTACTATATATATACGCTTTATATACACCAGAAGATTGGTTATTCCTTGTTCGTTTTGTCCGTTTACAAAGTAACTCATTAATATTATATAAATTAATAATTAGTAAATCTTCCGAGTTTACTGTGGATAATACAGTCTCCACAATATTTATAACCTAAATTATTTTGTGATAGTAAATAAAGGAAGTCGTTAAAATAAGTCACTTGCACGACTTTTGAATTCAAAATGTTTTCTCTTCACTTAGATTTACTTATCACTAAAGTGATTATTTCGCGTTATAAAATGCATGCTCTGTCTGTCACGTGGTAAATGCTATTATGTATCAGGTTCATTGAGTGTTACGTACTTAAAGACGTTAATTCAAAGAGGAAATTTCTACACGGCTACACTGTCCATGGAAAGAAACGTCGAAGCGCTTGACGGCTCGACCTGCCGTGGAAACAGCCCGCTGTACGTATTCCTGGATAGTGACGAAAGTTCACAGCGATATCTCGAGCAGGTAAACATAACCACATCTGGAAACGCATTCATTTTCTGACTAACTTCATGAAGTTGCTAAGTTTTGTGCTTATGCTGTGTGGCGTTGTAGATAGTTGTCAAACCTTCTGAGGGTGGTATCGCCACCAAAATCTTTGTCCACAACCAAGAATATCATTAGCAACATTTTTATCGCCTCAAATGTCACGTTGTTAATTTACCAGAATTTATAATTACAAATAAATTCTCACGTAAATGAAAGCCTACAGAAATATCACAGCACAGCACAGGGATGGGTTTAGTAAGTTCCTTGCGCCTTAGTAACACAGTCCTTGAGATGCTCGTACCTGCTTGAAAATTCTCAGCTCCTTACTAATCTCTAAGGTTCGTCAAAGTGTTCACAAAAGTCTTTTTTCGGTTCCTGCCATGCTCCAGCTCAATCCAATCCACACATTGCCACCCTAATTCTTGAAGATCCCTTTCATGCCTAGATCTTCTGAAAGTCTCCTCTCTTCGAGTCTTCTCACGAAAACTTTGTGTCCCAATACCGTCGACATAACTTTAATTATTTGGTGTAATTTCAGGTTTCAGTCGCGTCTAGTCTATTAAGCGGCCGATGGCTCATGTTTATTTCCATTGCTTCGATAGAGGATTTTTTCTTCAAAATTAAAATGCCATACGACTGCGAATTTTTAGTAGTACGACCAGTGAATAAGGAACAGAAAGGAGGAATCAAACTTTCTCTTATGGAGGTTTATCAGGATCACCCAACCAAGGTCCCGCAACAGCACCCTGTAGCCCACTGGACGACTACTGGAGGGTTCGTATGGACGGCAACTCCATTACTTCAGAGGAGAGCCAACCTCCACGGCATCTCTCTTAGAGTTGGTGTGAATAGTGAGGTAAATGATGAACTCATTTCTTTCAGTTCCAATCACAAATTACTTATTATGGAAGAAAGTTTATTCATGAAAATCTCTTAATATTGTATTCAGGACCTCCCTATGGCCCAATCGAAATGCAGTGTTAACAAGGATGAGTTCTGCATAATCCACTACAAAATATGGAAAATCTTGGAAAATAAACTTAATTTTAAGTAAGTACATTTACTGAAAATATGATAATCTCTACTGATAGTCCCTTATTTGAACGTTCTTATTAAAATACTACTACAGTGTACCGGTGGTCTAGCGGTCAGAACGCTGGCCTTGTAATCCTGGGGGGTCTCGGGTTCGATTCCCGGCGGTGCCCGAATTTATAACTTTTGTTGGGCAAGGCCGTGGTCTAGGCAACACGGAGTTTTCCTCCGTGGCATCCCAACAATTACTCCATTCACACACAGAAGAAGGCAATGGCAAACCACTGCTGGATCATCTGCACAAGAACGTATATGAACAGGTCCCAGTCCGAGAAAAGGATGGAAGGATCCTGTTCATATGGACCTGTCGTCAGACAGAACACTAATAATAATAATAATAATTAATTCCTATGGTGTTGAACGTAAATGTAAAGAATCTGCGAAGTTATGAAAGTTTTTTTTCCCCCTGTAGGTCTGAGTTCTACGGTCCGGTCCAAGGAGGACACGTTTCTAATACAGGCAATATTTCATTAGATGGTGTTCCAACAATGCTTTTGTCAGATCAGGTAGATGTTGGTATCAGCATATTTGCAATGACCTCAATTCGCCAGAAATATATTGACTACATTTCTGTTCTCTTCTCAGTGAAGTAAGCAATGTTACTTTCAACCTTATTATTAGTCGCTTACATTTTATCAAATATCTTTGTACACAAAGAAATCTAATTTATCCTAAAATTATCCATGCATGCTAAATATGTGTGTGTACGTGTGATTCTGACATAAACAAACAGCCATTTGCGCATTTACAAGAAATGGTATAATCACTTCTCTGTCTCGAAATGACAAGGGGATTATACAAACCACTGTGTTGTGTTTGCTGCACTATTTAGAAGTTTATCCTGTCCATGAACTATTTTAAGAACCCAAGTCAAAACGCACTTTACCATTTGAAGATGAGACCAACGCGGTGTTGTAAGAACTTACGTACATCTTATAAACTCTAAGTAATTGCAGATTCCTCTTTACAATAAGGTGGCTTGAATAGAACCGAATTATCCACTCTTCTGTTCATATCAGTATCGTTCTTATTTCACAATCTACCCTAGAAGCTAGCCAATGATTTAGGTCTTATAGGTTGCAACACAGTTAACCCTACTCAATGTGCATCCGCCCTCCCGACCAGTCTTTTATTCACACGTTTCAAATTTAATTTAAAACGTAAATTTCTTTCAGGATAGCAACATACATTAAGAAACAAGTGGTGAGTAGTTCCAGATGGAATTATATACTCGAACCATTTTCCACTGAATTCTGGTGGGTGGTAGCTACGTTACTGATCGTTTTCATTTTTTTACTCTCTGCGACGTGGTACGTCGATCCTCGCCAAGGAACTCATCGCAGCATAGAGAGCTTCAACGTCTATAACTCATGGATACAAATTCTCGGAATCTTCTGTCAGCAAGGTGAGCGATACAAAAATTACAGTATTATGGGTCGTTGTGGCGAGTAATCTGGCAAAGGATACACCTCTGAAACGTCTGTAACATCTGAGGCAACTCGGTGCAACATCCCATAACACACTCATCTACGTGCAGAGAGTTATGCCTCAAACCATTGCAGATTCTTAGATGTCGGCATTTATTTTGATCGGAGAAGAAAAACTTGGGAGATCTAGACGTAAATATGAGGACGATATTAAAATGAATGCTAAGAGATCATTTGGTTTAGGACAGGGTCCAGTGTCGGGCTCGCGTGTATACGTTAATGAACCTACGGGTTGCATAGACCGTTTCTGTGTTGGGTTGCCTGACTTTCCGATGAATCTGTATAAACGTAACTTATATCGCTGTTGTTATAGGGTTTTTTTTTAATTTGATCGTGCCTCTCGGCGTCTTTCAACTCAACAACAGCTGAACAGACATTAAATTTAGTACAGATGTTGACCATAACGCATGAAATTTATTTGTAGGTCATTAATTAGAAACACTGCAAGGGTGATAATTTTGATGTTATATCTGATAAATTTACAACATACGCATTTCAAATACGATACCAAAAAGTTGTTCATAACAAATTAATGTGGCTCGAGTAAGATTCGATCGCATGACCATCTGCCCACAAACCCAGCATGTAAATTCATGAACCACACTAGATCGTTAAGAGCAATGCTGCAGTAAGTTGTAGCTGAAACCTAGGATTTTGTTGATATTCTCTATTCACGATTACCTGCCCTGTGCACCAAACATTGATTATTACTATCTTAGCATCAGTCACTGTAATACTATTAATTGTAAAGTAACTTATCGACCTACGCAATACACGCACACACACAGAATGTCCCGAAAAGATGTAAACACACCTTCAATGAATTAAATAAAGACATTTTAATAAACTAAATCAGTACACACATCAACAGTGGCACTCACTTAATAGTAAATCCAGTGTAGGTGTTCAAAATAACCCCACAAGAAAAGTATTTTGGGGTCAAATCTGGTGGTCCTCTGCGTCCTATCCATCGGTCGGGAAATGTGTGGTCAAGATGGGCCCTGCAACCACGAGGTAATGTGGGTGTGTCCCATCTTGTCATCTCATCTCCACACAGCTGACAGACAGCGAGAACAGTGGATTCTTTGAGGTGTACATATTTTTTGGGGATATTCTGTGTATACAGAAACAAACATTAAATTTCCAAGGAGTAAAGGACTCATGTGAAACTGTGCATTCCGGTACGAATTGTAAATTTCCAATTTGTTTCATATTTTATTCTGTCCCTGGTTTCTCTCATTATTTACATCTCTTTCTGTAGGGCACCCCACAACTCCTCAGTCATGGCCTTGTCGCCTAGTGTACATCACAGCGTACATAACATTTGTAATCTTGTTCGCCGCATATGCTGCCATCTTCATATCATTTCTAGCTGTGCAACGGTACAAGATGCCTTTCTCAGACTTCCAGGGGATTCTGGATATTGGGACATACGGATTTTGTATACCTGCTATTCCCGTTTATACAAGCATGTTTGAGGTAAGAAACTAATTTGCTTCAGTACGTAGGCTCATTTTGAACCCAGTCTCATCCGTGGAGTTAGGTTTATCAGAAATTGGAATTGCTGCTAGACAGTGATACGATATATAGAAGAAAATTTATATTAATTAAAAACCAAACTCACAAGTCAAATTACTTTCACATATTATTGTATAACTTTTACTGTTTTGTGTTAATACATGTAATTCTTCCAATTACAGCAACACTAATCATAAATAAAAGGGCTATCCTGAATAGACACACAATCTCTTTTAACATGAAAATCGTAACACTGTAGTCTACAGAGGGATTTAACTATTCAATATTTAATCATAAACTGAGTATTTATCTTCGAATGCATAGTCATTTAACAGTATTAGTGACAGGCAGGCCCCTGAGATGATAGCGAATACCGAATTTTGTTTAAAGATCATAGATTCTGATGAATATAGATGCATAGCTCTTTTAAGGATTAGCAGGAAATGTTAATTATTAATTTCTTTCTAATATCAGTCAGGCCTTGTAATCCTGGGGTCTCGGGTTCGATTCCTCGCGGTGCCCGAATTTATAACTTGTGTTGGGCAAGGCCGTGGTCTAGGCAACACGGAGTTTTCCTCAGGGGGCTTCCCCGGTTTCTCCATTCACACACAGAAGAAGGCAATGGCAAACCACTTCTGGATCATCTGCCAAGAACGTATATGAACAGGTCCCAGTCCGAGAAAAGGATGGAAGGATCCTGTTCATATGGACCTGTCGTCAGACAGAACACTAAATAATATAAAATAATATCAGTTATCTTTATTTGGAAAGTATGTGTAGTGGAAACAAAAGTCATTTTAGGAAATATACGCGTAGAGTAAAATTTCCGGCGCGGAT